AGCAAAACGAATTACTTTGATAACCAAATGGCAATTATTTGGTGCAAAAAGAGAATTGTGAAATTATTTTAGCCATCACTTACCTGATGTGTGATCGGCTAACTGAAATCAGTGAATTGAGTAACATAAACGAGTATGCAAATAATCGGGTTATATTCAGTTTCAATGCGAATTGTTTTCGAGAATTCACGATCGTGCATCACATCGTATTTCATAAACCAACTGAATCCATTGTGAATATTTGCAATAAACTATTTTCAACGGCAACATCATAACTGTCGAGAATATGAATATGAAGACAATGGACAAACGTGTTAATAAACGTGTTAATCCCTATGATTGTATCAAAGTGGCGCATAAAAGCGATTGGATCAATGTGCTAGAATCATTGGCAACTCAGCAAATCATCCAAAATGTTCAAACTCCTTCTGGTACTTCTCGTCGTCGTTGCTGTTGTGGTTTCAGCGGAAGGTTAGCAATACTACTATTTGTATGGAGTGTGTAAGTAAAACTAGTTTTGCTGATTAAATTTATGCTCATCCAGAAAATTTTCAGCCCGAGAACAACGCAAAGCACTGAAGGAATATTTAGATGGTTTCGGAGAGCGTAATGCCGAGAAATTCATGAAATCGTTGGTGAAAGTTAGCGTTGAAAATATGCGGAAATCCACAAAAACTGCACTGCAAAAGTATTCTGATACGTTCTCGGCGCTTCTCCGAGATCTGCTCGAAATAGCCATCTATCTTCACAGCGATGGTCGATTGGAATGGTGAGTATAGACATGCTCAGAATGCTTTGATCAACATTCTTCAAGCATACTGGTCGAGTAAAATAAATCACGATGAGACGGAATAAGAATTGAGAGAGCTTTATAAGAAATTCGAAATAAAAGATAGGTTGAATATCTCTGACCCGCGCTGAACCATAACTTGGCATTAAGTGAGACTTTGCCGTATCAAACAGTAATCGGCAAATGAACGTGAAATTTTTGTGCAGAGATTCTATGACAAGTTCATCATTCGAC